ACTCACTGCCATGTGTGTGATAGCCAACTGAACGGTGATTGAGTGAGAGATCACTGCCATGTCAGCGGTAAGTATGGAGGCGCAGCTCACAATGCGTGTAACCTCAAGCTTAGAATCACCCCCAAGACAATAAACATCCCCGTGGTCTTCCACAACTTGAGAGGGTACGACTCTCACTTGATCATGCAGGCCATCGCGAAATCGATGGCAACCCTTACGTGCATCCTCAACAACATGGAGAGATACATCTCCTTCAGCTTGAATGGTCTGAGGTTCATCGACTCAGTTCAGTTCCTCGTGTCATCATTTGACAGTCTGGTCAAGGCCAACGATACCTTCCCCATCACTGAACGACATATACGGACGCCGAGACTTGACCCCTGCTGATGAGTAAGGGTGTGTACCCGTACGAGTACATGGATGGTTGGGCCAAGTTTGCCGAGACCTGACTGCCTACTATCAACCGATTTTACAGCAACCTGACCGACCCGACAATCACCCAAGACGATTACTCGCACGTGATTAATGTATGGAATAAACTGGGCTGTAAGAATCTGGGTGACTACCACGTCCTGTACTTGAGGACAGATGTACTCCTGCTAGACGACGTGTTCGAGAGGTTAAGGAGAACGTGTTTTAAACAGTATCAACTCGACCCCGCATGGTACTACACCAGCCCAGGTCTATCTTGCTATCTATGCATTGCTGAAAAAGACCGGAGTTAAGTTGGAATTGCTCACAGATTACGACATGCACCTATTCATTGAGAAAGGCTTGCGAGGTGGGTTTTCCATGGCTACCAAACGATACACAAAAGCAAATAATCAATACGTGAAAGGCTACGACCCGAGCAAGCCAACCAATCATATTCTCTACCTCGACGCCAACAACCTGTATGGTTGGGCCATGAGCCAGCATCTCCCCACAGGGGGATTCGAATGGACCTCGCCCGAGTTTGATGTTATGAGCATCGCACCGGATTCGAACAAAGGTTAAATCCTCGAGGTGGACTTGGAATACCCCAAGGCATTACACACATCGCTCAACAGCTACCCCCTGGCCCCCGAACGTATGAAGGTTAACCCAGACTGGATGTCCGAGTACCAACATAACTTGCTGGGTGGGCTGGTGTCAGACGTGGAAAAACTCGTGCCCAACTTAATGAATAAGACCAAGTACATCGTGCACTATCGCAACCTACAGCTGTACCTGTCGTTGGGTATGAGGCTGACCAAAATACACAGGGTGCTTGTGTTCGACCAGACCAGCTGATGGACGTGAAGAAACGCCTCGATTTGTACGACACCAGTGACTACCCCAAGGACCATGCTTTACACAGAAGGGTAAATAAAAAGGTCCTCGGTAAGATGACGAAAGAGTGTGCTGGCACTCCCATAGCCATAGGCTTGAGACCCAAGATGTACTCTATCCTGAAGGCCGACAATGGTGAGATCCGAAATGTGAAGGGTGTTAAGAAGTACGTGGTTAAACAACACATCAAACACGCCAGATTCAAGGAAGCCCTGTTCAAGACAAATACCTTCAGGCATAAAATGAACATGCTTAGAAGTGATGGGCATAGGATATATGGACTGACTATAAACAAGACGTCCCTGCCGCCGATGGACACGAAGCATTGGATAGCTATTGATGGGATCAAAACGTACGCGTACGGGCATGAGAAAATTGAACCGAGAACATAGGTGTATATATGTCGGAATGTCACGGAACCAAAGAAAGTATGAGGATATTTACTACAGCCCGCGGGGGTACTGGAAAGGAGCTAGAGCCATACATAAGCTGGCCAAAATGACGCGAGTAACCCCGGATTAGGCAAAAGGGTGGCTTGAAAAACAAGCCCTGTGGCAGATCTATTTACCAGCACCACGCAACGTGCCTCGAAGAAGGTTCGGTATTACCGTCTCAATAGTGTTCACCAGGCCGATCTCCTGTTCCTACCCCACAACAGGAGGTACAAGTATGCCTTAACCGCCGCTACAAAGAAGCCGAACTCTTAACACGCGAAAGACTCGGTCCAGGTAGCCCGCGGATTCGAACGCATGTACAAACACAGTCCGCTGACGTGGCCCACAGAGCTGCAAGTCGACCCCGGGCGGGAGTTCATGGGTGCTTTGTCACACCTGCTAGACAAACACGATACCAAGGTCAGGCGTGGCATGGCCGGAGCCCATCGCAGCCAAGAGATAGTTGAGAGATTCAATCGGACTTTGGCCGAGTGCTTATTTGGGTATCAGTATGCGAGAGAGATGGCCAACCCAGGGAAACGATCGACTGAATGGGTAGCACGGCTACCTCAGGTGGTGTCGGCCATCAACCACGAAACCACCCGTCTCACTGGCAAGAAACCAGCCGACGCTATCAAACTAAAATCAATAGGGGCTGAGTTGGCTGCACCATTGCATGGGAGGGAGAAAGAACACGAGCCTGGGGAACACGAGGGTGATAGTCGTAAGCGAGCCACCGATCCGATATGGTCAGTCAAAATTTACAATGTAGATAAAGTGGACATCAAAGCCGACGAGCCGAACTTGTACCACTTGAGAGTTGGGCCAGGGAGAGGTTTCGTTAGAGAGGAGTTATTGATCATGCCGTACGGCACAATGTTGCCCCCCAAGCAAAATATTTAACACTTACCAAGTGATCCCAATAGTATCCTGTAACCAACTGTTTCCTGTCAACATGACATAAGTTAATCACAATAGTGCCACGTGATCAGGAAAGTGCTAGTTCACGGTCATAGTGACACAGTAGTGCCACATGTGACACTATTGTATCATGTGGGGTCGGGAAGTTAACTGGGGCTTCAAAAGTAGTATGCAATTGCGGGCGAGGCTGTTGTTGGACTTGGTCTTGGACCCCTATTGTATCTACTACTACTGTAGACATTGCCCCACCATCACGTCGAAGACCCGGGTACGATTCCCCACATGGGTACAAAGTGTGGAAGCCATTTCTAGTTTTCCCAACTCTGATATTGCTGGAATATTGCTAAAAGCCGTTGTATCGGTGTCGCCCCAATCTCCCCCCATGTGGACGCCATGTCATACCATTACCGTCCACTTTTTGATTGTAATGTATTCCCGATGCTGACTTTTCGTTTACTGTTGCCAAGCAGTGAACAACCAACAAAGCGGTGAATCTTGAACATGGACATGTGTGCGTGTATGTGTGTGTGTGTGTGTGTGTGTGTGTGTGTGTGTTTTGCTGTTGTTAATGTGTAAATGACTGCGTGTTCCCATTCCGACTTTGAAACGTACCATTGCCTACTTATGATGGTATAAATGATTTGATATTTCAATCAGTTGTTCCTTATTATTAATATGTTTACCCTTCAGTCACTTCATCCGTCACAGATCAAAACAGAAAAAGGGAATGATTATGGAGAAACTTTGGATTTTGACATCAGTCAGTTTATTTACGTAAAGAAAATGTCGACTACAACAAATCAAATGAAAGCAAATCAAATAAAAATTAATAAAATCCACATTTTCGCACATAGAAGATTACTGAAAACAAAAATGAACAGTGACAAATTAGTGTTTAGACCAATCAATAATCCATTCTAATATTATAAACACTGACAAATTATAAACACTTCTGACATTCACACCTCGCTATACATTGAAAGACTTACTCACGCTAACTTTCTGATGTTGTTCTGCGAAATCCTGGAATTCCACCCTACATAGGAAGCTAACTTGGGTTAAGTTGCATCCATCTTCAACCATTCTGTGCCATAACGTGCCAATTGATCAAACGCTACTATTGACTCCTGAACTCGAACCTCATCAACAGATGGTAGATGATATTTGAAATTAAGTGTTTGGGAAAACTGTCGTCCCAGCGAGGAAAGGAGAGAAAAGTCTGAACTATCAGTAGTTTATGTATCACAAAGCAATCGCACATCTAAGATGATCATAACTACCATACTTTAACATAGACTTTCGACTGTCATAGTGCTACGATCGCTTTGAGGAACGGGCGCCTGGTCCATTGTATTCATGATCCTACACAAAGGCTGTTCCACTGTTTACCAGGTCTCACAGAAACACTATAACTGGTCCCGTGTCATTCACATCTATTTCTTCGTATGCCTGCTCTCTCTGTCGGCCACTCTCGGGGGCATCCATCTCAGGCTCCTGTTGGGCTTGCTGTTGACACTCCATCTCTCTCTCCCGTGGACTTTGTCTGAAGAAACAAGAAATGCAAGGAGTTACTGCCTAATTCTAGAGTCTCTGATTGCTTCTAGTCAGCTCAGCATTCATGGACCGCTCAGGGTATCATTAACCATAACGTAACATATCCCAATATCAGATTAACTTACTATCTGGATACATTCACCCTCAAGGAATAATTAAATGGCAAATCTAAACGTGACTTTAATTAAAACTGTGACCTCCACCAACTGCAAAAACATCATTGACTCCTCACTGAGTGTATCAGACGTTGAATATGATGCTGATATATTGCGTTCTATTCTTGATGGATTTTGTATTGCGGTATCTCTTTGGCGAAATCTGCGACTCTGTAGGATTGAGATCTGGACTTCTGGTAGGCCAAAGAAGGGTTGCTACGTCTTTCAACATAGGAAATCACCAACAGCAAGTGCAACAACCCGTTCTACCCCACCGTCATATATCATCAGGACAACTATGTTCATATTACTGAATATTCCCAAATTCGTATCAGGCCTGCATCGGGAGACTGGGTATTCTCTGGCTTTGTATGCAACTGCAATACTGTGTTCACATGATGGTGAATGCTCAAATTCAAGTCCTTCTAACGATATTGTCTGCCACACACTCTCACCTTGGCATCCCACCACGTCTACGGCAACACATCCCCACCGCCACCAAACTGCCAACCACCACAAACAGTATCGTTGTAGACAGGGTGGCTACTTGCATACCACTGGCGACTTCTGTAAAACAAAGATAATAGAGTTTTATATAACAGAATCACGCATTAAACTGAATTGATCACATAGTTAGGCCACTGGTTAACCAAGAAGAATTGTTGCAGTTACCTCGGTTGCAGTGTTCCAGTCTCAGACATTCCTCCACGGAACAGTTGGATGTGCAGGTTGAGTCACATCTTCCTCCAGTCAGGTGACAGCCATTGGAACAGGTGCCAGTCTTCTGATCACAGACACCACCAAGACAGACGTTACACGTGAGTTGACAGCGCCCTCCATAGAAGCCATTTGCACATCCATCTGTACACGACCCGGTGTCTATATGACACTTGGAGTTTCTACAGTTAGAACCACACACAGAAGAGCACTGTCGGCCATGCCATCCCTCGTCACATCCATGGATACAGTCCCCACTGTCTCTGTGACAGTCACGTACTCCAGTGTTTGGCGCCAGTAGAGGTTTGTTAGTAGAGATGTTGGGGTCCGGTCCACACTTGTCACTGCATGTCTTGTCACAGAACACGCCATAAAATCCAGAAAGACAGCCTTCTGTGCATCCATGTTCACAGGATCCCAGGCAGTGGTCACAGGAATACCCACAGTTTGGGCCAAAGTATCCAGGGTGGCACTCTCTGCACGATCCTGTCATCCTGTTGCAGGATTTACATCCACTGGAGCACGACTTACAATCAGTCCCATAGTAGGAGTGTACACATCCAGACACACAGGATGAGCCCAGCTGACAATATCCTCCATCACAATCACCTCGACATGGTGTACAGCTACCTCCTGGACTGTCACATGGTATGTCGCACTCTGGACCTTGATATCCTGGGACACAACCATCAGTGCAATCACCAACGCCAGAGGTTGACAACCGACAGGAATAGTTTCTGCAGGTCTTGCTGCATACTGAGCTACATGTCTGATCGAAATACCCAGTGTCACAGTCGGTGCGACAATATCCGGTTCTGTCACAGTCTGAACAATGGTGGTTGACACTGCACTGGTCACCTGAAAAGAAAATGAGGTTTAATAAACCACCAAGAAAATGACTTACTATCCTGAAAACAGAGAACAATGAAGACATTAATGGGAGAGTGACTGAGTATGAAATGTTCCAAATGTAATGCTTTGTACCTGTTGACATTTGGCGCGGAGCTGTGGTGTGCTCTGTGTTTAAACGTAGAATGTACAACGATACTACGGACCTTAAACTCATCATGCTGAGCTATGGAAATTTTCCTTTGGTTTATAAGGCGAGCGAACTTTTGCCCTTCATCTCACAGTAGATCTGAAGTTACAAGAATACCAGCAATTGTGTGGACATCATTCTTACTCGGCCTATTTTTGAAAGTTTATCGTATTTGCAGTGAGGCGTCTTTGTTGATGATGTTATTATACTTTATTACTTTTTGTACTCCCATTGTAATACCTTTGTAGAGATTTGAATCTGGCTGTCAGATTTACACACGTGTAAAGGGGTGTTAAAATTTACGGACACTCAACTCTGCATTTACATGTATTTCACAAGTGTGTAAATCTGGATATGGTTTTCATGTGTATTCTAGCATGTGTAACATATATAAATGTTGTGATTGTAGGACATGCATGTCAATACCTCTGGAATCTCGTATGACTAAGGTTATCATATAATTAGTACACGCGTAAACGGTTGGTAATGGGTAAATAGAGTGTTGCAAGATTGACACTACTTTAACATGCATTTCAATGGCTCTGTAACATAACTGTCACATCGACTTTGTTAGCGCGTCCGACCACGCCATAATGCACTGAAATCATTAGAAACACATGGCGATGTGATACCCATGACTGAGCACCACTATTAAAGTGCGTGCCTTTCTTGACATTCACTTGATGTATGTTTAAAAGGTTAAAATATAGGGTCTATGGGCTAGAGCGATATATGTATGTTAGGGAGTGTTGTTACGGTTAATAAATTGCCTTGACAAAAGGTTTAAGAATCACCTTTGAACCAGCAAAATATAACACAGACAAGTCCAAAATATTCAATAATATATTGAGCAAACAACGAGCAAGCTATTTTGAATGACAATACTTAAGAAATACAGTTCGCTCTACCACCATGTATAGTGTAATAAAGTACACTTTCGCCCTGAACTATTATAGTTAAAGTACGAGGACGCACATCTGTGATTAACGTAAACCATATGGGGCAATATGAACGTCGCATTTCTACTACCAACGTAAGTTTAGATCAGTACATCCAGATGAAGCTGAGTAGTCAAGCGATATTCCACGATTGCATTGTGGGAATGTAACCATTGTGAACGTTACCGTGTCGCTGAAAACTTGTGAGTCGAATTGAGACATTTTAACCGTCGGAAAACATAAACGTAATGTTTCCACCAGTGATGTTAGCAGCGTCAAGCAACTGCAAAGCAAGAAACGGGATGCAGCGGAGTAGTTTACTGTAGGAGTCCGTACGAGGCGATGACAACTGACATGCATCGTGACGTCGCTTACATTGTGACGTAATGCAAAATTGTTCGATTACGAGGGGACAGACAAGAATGGCGCAGTGACGCCAATATATTGTGACGTAATTCAAAAAGTGCACATTATCGTCTGATAAAGTACTGTCGGCGCCTTTGATCTTTTACCGAAGCATCTTAGAAAGATATTTAGTACAATGCAATAGAGTCACAAATCTTAAGTAATGGGCCACAAATATAAAATATTACCTTACCGGAATCTTGACAGTTACAATGAGAGCAGAAATACTAATTGAAGGTTGTTTACAATGAGAGTTGAATAAGGACAAGCAGTGTCAGTCTGGAACGTAGGTCAGACGATGTTTACGAAGACAGGCAACAAAGCGTGGCTGTATCATTATTCAATGAGTAGATTTGCGAACGGCCTCGTAAACACGACATGATGAAAGCCGTAAATACGACAGTCAAGGAGGCAGCTCTGAAGCGCTATCAAAAAGGCGTACCGCTAAAAATAGTATTATTATTGAACATATATGATGCGAAATGTGACCCACAACCCACACTTAAAACTTGAAACATTGTGACCCAATAACAACTATCACTTAATCAATGATAATACAAATTATAAAACACACTCTCACAACACTCACCCCTTTAAGGAAAGGAAAGTCATAGCCAGATAACTAACATAATAAGATAACATGTAATAATATGAATAACTTAATCACAAAAGACTCTTTGTAAAGACTAAGACAATAAATAATAATAAAATAATAAAGTGCATTTGTAATGCCCCACAATCCAGGCATAAAGCCTGCTCAAGGCGCTACAAAATAGCATTAAGAGTCTGGAGTAGAGATTTGAATTTGATAGGAAAGGAGTGGAAATGTCAGATGCATTGAGAGAACAGGTGTGTTTTCAGTCTTGATTTGAACAGTTCGAACGTGGGACAAAGTTTGACGTCAGATGGAAGAGTATTCCACAGCACTGGGGCGATGTGAGAGAACGTTCTGTATCCAAAGGACTTTAGTCTGTAGGAAGGAACTGTGAGTGAGTTGCTGTCACTGGAGCGAAGTTGTCGAGCTGGTACATATGGAGTCAGTAAGTCACTAAGGTAGTCAGGGCTGGTGTTGTTGAGGCATCTGTATGTAATGCAGAGCACCTTCAACTGTATTCTGGCTCTGATGGGCAGCCAGTGAAGCTCTCTAAGGATGGGAGATATATGCGCATACTTCCTGGTTTGGGTAATGATCCTAGCCGCTGTGTTTTGGACCATTTGTCCAAATTGGACCAAATAGTATGCAAAATTATCGTTACTATGACAACCCTGTGATATTTCACCTCATGTAAGAGAGCAATAAATACGATGCTAGGTATGGCAGTATTACTGCAGATGATTGTGTATGTTGTACATTTTGATAAGTTGCTGCAGCGCTATCACACTGGGTATCTATACAATTATGTGTGTGATGGAGGGAACTTGCCTTGCTACCTTCCTCAATGATCTGAATGCATGTATGTAGCGTCAAACCCACAGATAGATATGGAAGAAAGTGTTTGCCCTACCTGTAACAACGACGTCCCGTGTCTATAAAAGGGACATATGACATGTACTTTTATCTGGGCCCGTATGATGTTACATATTGCGATCTTTCACAATAATCTCTATCAAATTGAGGGTACTTTTTAAACATAACCGGTATTTCTATTATTGTATTTATACATTAACATTCTTCGAACTTTGTCCATATACGTCCGCCAGATATATCGCGCACTACCCCTTTCTCTTTTGATTTTTTTCAAATGACTGTTGCTAGTTCGAAGAATCCTGGTCAAAGTAGAAAAGTCTTAAGACTATTCCCTACAATTCTATAACATGCACATTGTACCCTAAATGGGTAGGGCTTCCGTTCGGGGGAATGTCAGAAGGACAACGATACAATTATCTCGGATGTTGTAGAAAGGACTCCACTTACTTAGGCAAATAATAACCCACTGAGATATCAATAATTTTGGCACCTGTCAGATCTGAACTTGAACATGCAAGGTCTGCGTTTATGTCAGGCTGAAGGTCTACAATATGTTTAGCAACACTGGGGCGTAATAGTCATAAGCCTGCTCCAAACAACGGAATATATATCTTGTGAGAAGGACTTCTCCGATGGGGAAAATGAAAGCAACGCAACATCACAATTACTTGTGTGACATTTGCTTTCGCAATCTGAGTTTATGGATTGTCAATTCTAACAGGACAATCAAGACGAATTTCACAAAAGGCAAGGAGTCCAACGTGTCTATATGCTCAGAGAACGCATCCGCCCGTGCTATCTGATCATAATCTCTACATGATAAATACAATTTTTCAGTTCATGTTTCACAAAATATATAATTTGATATGGCATTGTTTGTTGTCGTATACTTTTGTGATAGTGAAACAAATGTGGACAACATTAAAGTTCATGTATGGCGTTATTGCAGCAAAGGCTGAACAGTGACCATATAATAGATTATATGGTCTCTGGGCTGAGCGGAAGGAGAAATAACATGGTTCAGGCACGTTGAGACTATCGAGAAAGGTCACATTAAGCCTCATGAATATCCTATTTCATTGAGACATTGCTGGTAACTGTGTATGTCGAGTAAACAGTAATTCTTCCGTGCATGGAACATTGATCAACATGGTTTGTGTCTATTATGCAGAATAACCAAATAACTTGACAATGATTAGGGCTGTAGTGAATGATCGGACGTATAAGCGAATAACAAGTTTATACTCTTACCTTTTGAGAACGTTATGAGATATACCAAACACACAACCTTCAACATTGTCATGCTGTGTCCTGGTATACCACGCAACATGAATACAATGTTAGAGTTTGTTGTTACTGTAAGGATTCCCACAGTTTCTGTGTGCGATGTTAATTCGTCCTTATATACATCGAGTGACTCAATCACTTGCAAATTGGTTTACTAATTTCAAGCAAATGTTTTGTTCCTTCTAAACAGGAAATCGTCGTGCGGGGTATCGATGAAAACACGCTTCCGTAGTTTTACATCTCCAGCCAAACCCGGAAGGTGAATTCTCAAACTATGATACCATCGGAACAACATCTGCTCCTTGTTTCATATTGTGTACAAAAACACAACAATCTCAGGTAACTCAATCTGTCATTGCAGTTATACTCTAATAATCCATAATGATTAACTTTTGATTCCCTTTTTTCTCATTTTTATGTTACAATTTCCATTACAGCAGTTTCATGTTTTCTAATTGAAAGTAGGTAAATTTACAATGAGTAGTGTTGATGTAAATACATAGTGTGTACATTGTAAGTTGTTCACTGGTCACGAGGCGGGCAGGGGTTGATGTACTCTCGGTGTTTGTATATGTTCCCTGAGCCCGAAGAGCGAGGGACCAGTGAACAACGTATATGTGAGTTCTTAAATTATCTCGCTGTTTGGGGTAGAGGATGTAAAAGTTTTAACTCAGTCCAGTGATTTCAAAACGTCCTTTAATCTCAAGTTCCAAGCTTTCTTATTTCACTTCTTCTAAATACAATCCACACAATGACAGAATAACAGTACATAAACATTAATTTTGACAGTAACTAGACCATGTCTAAACAATGAATGCACAGTGGCTGGGCAGTGGCTGGACAGTGGTTGGACAGGTTCAAAAACCGTATATCCTCTTAGCCCACAACACACAATCCTACAATTCTCTCTCAGAAACTTACAAACATGTCTTACTTCTTCGGTATCTTAAAGCTCTCTGTTCCTTTCTCACACTTTTTCATTCCACATGTGTCACTTAAATTCTTGGTCGGCCACTTATCGTGGTTGATCAGGTCAGAACCCATAGGACCCCTCAAAGACAATTATTCTATGAGTCTTAGTTCCAGTGGTAAATCACAGCTGCCACCAGTCCTGTGAATGTAGCTCGGACATCTGCTGGCAGCAGGGTCTGACAGATTCTTATGTCTCGACTAATTTCTATATACTAGCACATGCAGCCTCTCACGCACAAACCCCTTACAAAGTTACAAATATAATATTTTGCATGTACAGCAAATGCCTAAAATTCGGCTCTAACATTCCGGCCCCTAATTGTTACTTATATCTGAATGTAACAATTACCATAAAATTGTATGGAGTGAATTTTTTACTTTAAACAATGTCATCCTAAGCTACATTAATTGGCTTAACAACCCAGGTCCAATCACCAATGTACCTCGGGATGAAGCCCTTCAAGCACTACGCCACAGAATTGACAACCTCCAACAACCCCTCAACACCAGCCTCTCTACCGACTCTATCATCAGCCTCACCTCCGCCTGCATCAACTCCACCTACTTCACCAGTGGCTCTGCCCTTGTCGGCTCGGGCGATGACAATGCTACATAGGTGAAACATCCCGACCCATCAACACCCGAGTCAAAGAACATCGCACCTCTGTTGCTAATTCCGACACCAAATCAGCTATCTCTGACCACATCAAAGCCAACCCCAATCATCAAATAGAGTGGTCCGACATCACCATTCTCGCCAACAACCAAACGGACTTCACTAAACGCAAGCTCACAGAAGCCATTCACATCAAACGCCACAAGCCTACCATCAACCGTGACCAAGGATACTTCATTCCATCTGCTTATGATCCACTCCTCCACCAAGCCCAGTCTATTGTATAAACATCGCATCCATTGTATAAACATCTCATTGTAACTACATCTCTGGCTTCCATTCACTATCCTTTATGTACTTACTTGCTTCATCAGCTTACTGCTTAGCCAATCATGGCAATTATGTTGTTTCCTTTGTCTATTATGTTGTTTCATTGTTATATACAGTATATATATGCAGCTCCTACACTTCATGTATCACTCTTGCTTGACAACGGTACAAGAATCTGTATCGAAACGTCGCACTCACGAAAATAAAGAAGTTGTTATCCATAAAACTTGTTATATGTTATATATTAAGGTGTGGAATCGCTTTGAATCATTGGCGATGTATCTTAAAACTGACATGCTGTCTGTCCAGAAGTAGGTTTAATCCACTGAAATCTCCAGCTCACGTTTGAGCATGCTGTCCACTCGTATTGCTAGAGTCGCAGCTGATAGCTCCATTCTTGGGATTGTAATGGTCTTAAGTGGAGCAACTCTAGACTTGCTAATAAGAAATGAGCAATTAACTTGTCCAATAGTACTGACTTGTCTTAAATAGGAAACAGTTCCATAACCCTTTTGACTGGCATCTGAGAAGTGGTGTATTTGGGATATTGCATTCTGATCACTATCCTTGGGTTGAATGCACCTTCTTATCTTCATTTCCTCAAGCCTTTGTAGTTCTGACAACCATTTGGTCCAGTCTTTCTGGTACGGAATAGGAATGACGTCGTCCCATCCTATCTTAAGTCTGCAAAGGTCTTGTAGAATTCCCTTTGCTTTGAGAACAAAAGGACCTGCAAATCCCAGTGGATCATATATGGAGCTGACAATTGACAGAATGCCTCTTCTCGTTGCTGGTTTGTCTTTGACTGCTATCCTGAACTTAAATGTGTCTGATTCGACACACCATTGTACACCTAATGCCCTCTCCACTGGCAAGGCATCATCTATGTCTAAGTCTTTAACTTCTTTGGCTCGATCCTCTTCTGTGATTGAGTTTATTGCAGCTCTGCTGTTACTTATCCATTTCGTCAAACGGAATCCACCTTTACTGCAGATTTCTCTCAGTTTCTGTGACATCTCAATCGCTATTTCGGCATCCACATAGAAACTCTTTTCAATGGATCACATTGTTGCTAAACATGTCCTTGTTGTCTTTTGCTGTTTCTTTCAGTGGAAAGTTGGCACAACTTGGTGAAGAGACAGCGCCAAACAAGTGCACTTTCATCTGATATTCCTGTAATTCTTCATCGAGATTACCACTGGGCCACCAAAGGAATCTTAGAACATCATAATCATCTGGTTCAACTCTGACCTGGTAAAACATGGCTTCAATGTCCGCCATTAGAGCTATTGGTTCTTGGCGAAATCTCAGGAGCACTCCAATTAAGGCATTGGTGAGATCCGGCCCCTGTAGCAGGTGGTCATTTAGTGATTTTCCTCTGTATTCTGCTACACAGTCGAATACCACTCTTATCTTATCTGGTTCTTTGGATGGTATACACCATGATGTGGTATGTACCACACCTTCCCATCCTGACGATCTTTCTTACTCTCGGGAACCCTTTGGGCATAATCTTTATCTAGGAGATCCTTCATAAAGCCTTTGTAATCTCTGTAGAAAGCATCATTCTTCAGAAACTTCTTCTTAAGCGAAATAGCTCTTTCTTTGGCCTGTACTTTATTGTTTGGTAAGTTGATTTTGGAATCTTTGAATGGCAGAGACATCTGGTAGTGTCCTCCTGTTAATCTCTTGGATGAGTTCATTATATTCAAGAAATGCTGATCATTTCTTGACAGTTCTTCTTTATCATTGCTGAGGCGCTCGTTAAATTCTCTGTCGAAGTATCCTCTCAACTGATGATCAAGGGACTCGTCTGCTAGAACATCAGTTCGGTTGACTGAGATCTTACTGGGAGATTCAGATTCCTGGACAAGCCCATTTACCATTCAGCCAAGAATCGTTCTTACAGCATAGGGTCCGTTACCATGACTATTGACTATTTCCAGGGGTTCCAATGCCATAGGTACATTGTTGCCAATTAGCAGCCCTATCTCTGCATCTATAGGTGGTAGTGTGACGTCCCATAGATGCGGCAATTGATGAATGAACTCTTCTTTGGGAATAGTGCTTGTGGAAATAGGCATTTCTTCCTGTGTGAATACTGTAGGTAATTTGATCCAGTTCCTTCCATGGATGTCACCTACTTCTAGGTTTGTTAGAATGGAGGTATTCACAGATTTCTTTTAAGTCATGGTGCTGACAACTATATTTGTCATCTTCCCTGTGACATGAAGCTCATCAGCCAACCTGCTTGTGCAGAAGGTTGCTGAACTGCCGTTGTCAAGGAAGGCATATGTCTTTACATATCTGTCCCCAGTGCCGACTTTGATTCTAACAGGAACTACAGGCATATAGCTCAAGTCTTTGAGATCTTCACTGTGACGTGTAGCCAAACTGTTGTTTGTTACAACCTTTGGCTTCGTCTGATCCTTTTCCTTCTTTAGTTTATCTTTATTGTTGTCATGGAAACACGTTGCATGTCTCATTTTGCAGATATGACAGGTCAATCTGCTGGGGCACTGGCGACTTGTGTGTCCGAACTGTAGACAGCCAAAACACAATCCCTTTGGTCTTAGAAAGTCATTTCTTTCATCCACTGTCTTACACTGAAGTCTTATGCACATTTCCATACAGTGATCCTCGTCACAGAACCAGCATGGCTGGGCGAATGCCCTCAAAGCTCTCTCTCGTGCTGTGAATGGCTTACTTTGTGTCTCTGATTTTGGCTGACCAGGGTAGGTTTCTTTGGTTGCCACCTCGTGAATTCGCGATTCAGATTTCGATGTATCAGTGGCAAAGCTCTTAAATCTCTTAGGTGCTTCTTTCAGGTAAGGCTTTGGTTGAGCTTGTCTGTCATCGGCAATTGTGCCAAACAGTGGACTCGACAGTATCTGTGCTTGTCTATCCACGAAACGAACAAGGTCTGCAAAGGTGACATTTCTTCTTTCCAAGATATCAAATGAAACTGCCCTCCATCTTTCTCTTAATTTGTATGGCAACTTTTGAATCAGTTCCCTGAGGTTTTTGGGATGTTCTAATTCTCTCATGTACTCTATATCTGCCATGGTATTTCCACAAGTTGTCAGGAATATAGAAACGCTGGTCAGTGCATCACTGTCTTCTGACTTTATAGCTGGCCATGACAAGGCTTTGTCCATGTAAGCTGCTGCAAGCTTGTATTTGTTCCCAAATTTCTTATCCAACAATGACCTGGCTTGTTCATAACCACTTTCCGGATTCATGTGAATACAGCTTCTTACCAAGTCATTGGGTTCACCGCTGGTGTACTGGTCCAAGTAATAGAGTCTATCCTTGGGATTAATGGTCTTGTCTTCTATGCCACGTTCAAAAGCTCTTATGAAAGGCTTAAATTGTAATGGGTTGCCACTAAACGTAGGTATTTTTCTAATGGGTAGACTGGCTAGCTTCTGGTGTTCTACCACAAGCTGCATTATTTCATTCTGTTGTTTACACACTTCATCGAAGTGTGTATTGCTGACTCCAGCTGGTGAACTTCTGTTCTGATTCGGGGTGAATTCTCTAGCAAGTGGATTCAGCACATCATTTCGGTTATTTGATGGGTTGAGGGACTTTTGAGAATGATCTTTCTTTTGCGAACTGTTAGATTCTTGGTCATACTGGTCAAAAATTGCATACTGGGCATTTGCGATTTCCATTTCTGTCTCGAGTTCTAATCTTTCTCTCTTTTGTTTTAGCCTATTCTCTTCTTCTTCCAGTTGATGCTTTTGCTCTAATCCTTTCTGTCTAGCAACAAGTTCGGCCCTTTTTGCCAAGATTTCCATTTTAGCAGAGGAAGCAGATGATATGACTGAACCCTTACGTGTTCCGACTTGCAAAACGCTATCTTCAGGCCTTATTTCATTTTCTGTATCACAGGGTTTAATAAACGAAGCAACATTTGTCTCAAACTGTACTAAGGCACCTAACTGTGACTGGAACCAGGCTTCGTCTTCCTCTTTCGCTGATTGACTTTCAAGTTTATTGTGATAAGTTTCAGCCGATTCTTTAATTTGTGTGTGTGTTGGACGAGAGATTGTTTCAACCACTGAAATGTTGAATTCGTTGAAGAAATCGTTTATATATGTAATACACTTTTCATACCAATGGGGAAATTATACTGGCCTATCACCAATTGTTATGCTATTATTGTACCAAATTGACTAATTCATTACATCCAGTATTATCACAACAGTTTCAATATGATGCATGTAATGACAGTGTTTCTTTCCAAAACAGGTTGTGGATATTTTAAACAATATTGTTTCTATGTAGAAAGTATCAGCCAAATTTATTATTTTTCCTCAACTAAAAGATCATAAAAGAAACATTCCCATTTGGACCTAATTACAGATAGTCTTTTGATCAAACTAAGTTTCTGAGCTGCAATAACTCTTTCTGCTATGGGTACACTTATGCCACCATACTTAGGCTGTAATGACATTGTATCTCTCTTGACTTACTGGTTTAAATTTCCAAACCAATTGAAAACATTTCTTTCGAAAATGATTCTAGGTGGGCTGGATACACTGCTGGGTGAATGGTTTAGCTGAGGTAGTAATAATGATTTTAACACGATATATCTGCCCATTAGGGTTAAAGTTCTCTTTGCCCAATGTTTCATTTCTTTTTCAATGTTATCTAATGTATAAGTCTAGTGACTTCACCTATATATCTACTCGATACAAAACCCGTTTGATCCTCATGGATAATTAGTGGTAAAATTGGCTTTAGCCTATTTGCAATTGTCAATGCAGCTAACTAATTAGTAAGATTTTAAAGAGTGATAGGGCGCCATGTTTTTCGAAAGAGTTTTGATTTGTTATCTTTAGGGAAACAAGTAATTAGGCATTGTTTTTAAGGTAGTAGATAAGTATCCTATTTTATATGCATAATTTAAAGCATTTATCAAATATTTTTTAGGTCTAACCAAAACAACTTTCAGACATTTGCTGTTGTTCATTGTTTTATATTCTGTACTTGTAATTGTACTCTAATAATCCATAATGAATAAGTTTCCATTTCTGTCTTTGAATTTCGAGGTGTGGAGTAACAGGTAGTAAATAATTGCATTATATGTGTACAAATCAATACACAGGAGTACAAAATTGGGTGACAGTACACAGCCAGATACATGTCTGTATTTTATCATCTTGACTTGACATATTTCTGTGACTATAGGTGTTCCCAGCAATGACAGCAACATCGACGTTGGTTCAACTTTGAAGAATGTGGAGTCTTTACATTCCTGTATTTCTAGTTTCGACCTGTGAGTACCTCATATCAACAACTAACTGGAAATGAGCAACAAGGAGAGTTCTATGGATATACACCTTCTTTAATATGATATGAGCGACGTTTCGGTGTGGCTACTAACACCGTTATCAAGCAAATAATGTACAATACTAGATGCAAGGTATATTTATATACATGGTAAAGTTGAACAGTAAGTGATGAAGTTTACACAATTAATGAGGTAGATGTACAGGGTGGTGGATGTTCACACAAGGGGCCAAAGTTACACAAACATAGTAAGCTGTGGGGGGATTAGGAGGGGGGGGGGGAGCCAGTGATATGACAGACAGGAGAATAATAGGATTAAGATTGCTTGGTGATGAGTTGGTTGTAGGGAGTGGGGATGTAATATCCTTGGTCTCTGTTCATGGCCGGTTGGAGTCTCTTGATGTGAATGGCTTCTAGTAGCCTTCTGATCTTGAAGTGGGTGTGATTGCTGGTGAGTACATTGATGCTGTTCCATAGGATGTTGTGGTCTGGGTGAGCTTGGGTGTGGTCAGAGATGGCGGATTTAGAGTCTTTCTTCTTCACAGAGGTTCGATGTTCTTTGATTCTTACGGGATGGGGTCTTGAGGTTTCGCAGATGTACGAGTCTCCACAGTCGCACTTTATGTGGTAAACTGTGCCTGAGGGGTCTTCTTTAGTTGTGGGGGTTGGTCTGCCATTGGCTTTTAGGAGGTTCTGTATAGTAGTACCTCTCTGGAACACAACATCAATGTTGACTTGGTGTTTTAAGAGTCGGCTGATCTGGTGGCTGGCTGAACCTATATAGGGCAAGCTTATGATGAACGGAGCTGTTTGATGGCGTGGGGGCTTGTTTGTCGGGTTGAGGGTGGCGTTATTCCTCTCTTGACTTGTGGGGGATGGTTAGATGAGTGGTGAAGGTACTGATCAGTATGGGTGGGTTTACGGTATACACTGGTCTGGAGCTTGTTGTTGTCTTTCTCTATTCTGACATCGAGGAAAGCTAGCTGGTTATCTGTTTCTTGCTCCATGGTAAACTTCATGCGAGGGTGCTGGGCATTGAGATGGCTGAGGAGGGTATTAGGATCATCATCAGGGTTGAGGATGACAAATGTGTCATCTACTTTTCTAAACCAGCAGATAGGGGAGATTGGCGATGTCTGTAGGGCTCTCTCTTCTAGGTCTGTCATATATATCTCTGTGATGATGGGTGAGAGGGGTGATCCCATGGGAGTCCGTGGGTTTGTTGCAGGATCTTGTCTTGCCAGGTGAAATAGGTTGAACTGATGCAGGAGTTGATGAGTCGGATGATGCTGTCAGGGGTGAGATGGGTTTCTAAGGTTTCATGGATTTCCTCTATCCTACTTCTAATGATGGCTAGGTCTTGTTCTCTGGGAACATTAGTGAAGAGGTCAACTACATCGTAGCTGACAAGGTGGCCTGGTTTGTTGATGGTGCTGATCTTCTTACAAAAATCAGTGGAATCTGTGATGAATGAATTAACAGATTTTCCAAGGGGGGCTAAGAGGCGGGCAAGGTGCTGGGCAGTATTGTAATGGACTGTATTTCTTGAGCAAACTAGTAGGCGGGCTTACTATGTTTGTGTAACTTTGGCCCCTTGTGTAAACATCCACCACCCTGTACATCTACCTCATTAAGTGTGTAAACTTCATCACTTACTGTTCAACTTTACCATGTATATAAATATACCTTGCATCTAGTATTGTACATCATATGCTTGATAACGGTGTTAGTAGCTACACCGAAACGTCGCTCATATCATATTAAAGAAGGTGTATGTATAGAACTCTCCTTGTTGCTCATCATACCACCTTCTAAATGCCACTTAAACAAGTTAACTGGAAATGACAACATCCTACATGTATGGTTTGAGCGATAAATGGAATGATTATTGATGTAAACGTACAATCACTAATGGTATTACACAATCAAGTTTGCTAGTAGGAGCCTCACTGAGAAAAACAGTAATAGACTTTTGAAAATAGGCGAATCTCTGTCACGAATCAATGGTTTGTCTAACATGATTTTGATACTTACCATGTTTTTACAGATGTTGCCATGCGTGAAGATATTTGAATGTGGATGGTATCTTAAGAAAACCGCTGATGGGATTCTGTACTGTAACATCATGTGGTGCTTTATTTCAGCTTTGGCCGTCACAGGAGACAGACAATGTGAGTGGGGGAAATATGGCGAGCACTGTAACTTGACTTGTCCTGTGAACTGTGCCCTAGTTCCACCAAGAAATGTTCAGTACTGTGACAGAAACACGGGGAAGTGTCTTGGGGGATGCCAGAATAGTTGGCATGGTGATCTATGTGACCAATCCTGCAGCACAAGCTGTCTCGACAAGACCTGTAACAAGCAAACTGGGCACTGTACACTTGGCTGCTATGGAAACAATATGGGTTTTTTCTGTAATGGCACAGGAGGTAAAGTGATCATAACGAGTTTAGGCAATGAACATTAACACGTTTATGTAATAGTAGAATGTAATAGTATTTATTAATGCTGTTCGAACATAAATACTTACTTTGAACGGGCCATTGTTGAAGGGAGACAACTCTTACCTCTCTGATGAAAGTTCGTAACTGGAAGAGAGCGGAAAGCCTTTCCCCTAACACCTCGTTGCAGCATTATTTTCGTGGTTTATATACATGACACGTGGTTATATATATGAACCGTTCTTATCGCTTTAATTCGATCCTTTCAACGTCATCTTTTATTCCTAGAGCTTCTGTGAAATGCCAGATGAAATAAAGCACTCCAGTAGTGTACTGAACAGTTTATAGTCTGTCCCACAGTCCCTGAACCACATTATTTGCCCTAGTGCCTGCAATGCTAAAGCTTTATATGAAGCAAGTTTAAAATTCCTCAAGTTGCCGAATTTCTCATCTTACTGGGGCTCCTTTTCAATTAAAATGGGCTGATTTGTTACTGTAAAAATTACATATATTCGTGGACTAAGCGTTTGTCTAAACAGTTTACAATGTCCAAAGTAATAAATAATAATAAAGTAGTATAAACACATGAACACACAATTATTAGATTTTGTATAAAATGTCAGTGACTAATGTAGTTTGTCCTCTACTGTTTTGAAAGGTACAGACCTATACAGTTGCATAAGAAGATGTTTTCGAGGGAATTTAGGTGCAAAATTCATATAAAAACTTTAAATGTATGGTCACAGTGATTATTTGTATGATATCGGAGCGAAATTACTTTCTCGTATAACTGATATTTTATCCGTTCTTTGGTTGTTTTCCAGAGTGTGACCGTGGCTGGTATGGAGATACGTGTGAACATCCCTGCAGCAGCAACTGTGTGGAGGAAAGATGCCACCATTCAACTGGAGTCTGTACACTGGGCTGCAGTGGGACTTATACTGGGGAGTTTTGTAACATCATAACAGGTACGAATAAACATGTTGTTATCGCATATGTATAAAATAGTATGGTGTTGTAAGTTAAATTTTAAGTTGAAAAGAAGGCAAATCAATAAATCGGTACGCCGTTGTGAAATCAGTGAATAACCACACATTAGTAGTAGACAAGCAACACGCTGCAGCAGGTTTTCGTTCCCAGTCAAGAAGGAATGAAGAATTTTCTTTTTCACAAGGGTGACGTAAGGGTTTAAATCCTCAACAATACCAATGTACAAAAGGACCTATTAAGCATGTCACTGTCACAATCCAGAATGTGTCGCAGTAGAATGTCTTGATTTTGGAAGCAAACAAAAGGTCTGTGATTTTGGATAACCGTGCCGTCGACACTGAGCAAGAAGGTATACCCGAATTGAAATGGCAGTAGGAGGCCACTAAACGCCCTCGCTCTTGTGTAAGTACATCGAGTCTTTAAGAAATTGTTTACCAGAAAATTTACCGGGATGACGACAAAAGTGTCAACGTAAGGACAGTGTTTGGACCACAGGCAAACACATTAAAGGGAGGTAACTCCGAACTACTCGCCTCAGTTGACACCATACACTTGCTTTCTATCATAGAAAAGTAATTTCACTTTATACCGGTAACAGTAACAACTGAAGCCACAATCAGGGGGATATTTGGGTATAATGTAGACAGGTGGCAAGATCATATGTGTGTTGACTGGACAATCGTGACATAGGACACAATTCAGAGACCATCTTCTTTGATACAGTCATGCTCAAACAGCTTTCATAAAGTACGTAACACTTCTATAATGCTCCATCTTCATAATGATCCACCCGTTTCCAGAATGCACTTCAAAACATAGGTACTGCACTATACATCAGACACACTTCAGTAACATTTTTATAACAATATCAACAACATTCAGATTAATTTACAGTCTTAAAACTTGAAAATAGTACCATTCCTGGATTTGAGCTGCATTCAGAGTTATTCGTCCATAAATGGCAGGAAATACTTACAAATCAATCCGCATAGATATCTCAGCCTGTGTACATTTTGACATTCCCGAGAGGCTGATGGCCATGTTTTGCGTATCAACGGTAAAGAAACACGTTTTCATTGGTTGCTATGAATGTCATAATAATTTTGATATGAATCCATTGAACATTCTGTCGTAACTGATATCACGAGGTTTTTAGAACAGTATGGCATTAACTACTAATTAGTTATTAATTAGCTGTTTGCTTATATGAGAACCTTTGCATTTGTCCAGAAACTTCTCTGACTCCGGCTGTGAACAAGAAGGAAGAAATAATCAGCCTGATTACCACACCGGCTCGTGTGTTCCTGTTTGGAGTTATAGCAGTCGTACTTGTAGTCATACTCGCAACTGTTGTACAAGTCATGCTGTTCTTAAGGTACATATCTGTTTTTCACTCGTGGCAAGTAGATGTCCGATTTATAAAAAACATGTGTTCCTGGGTTTTCATAATATTCTCTCAGAAGTATCGGATGTACATAAAGATCCCTGTATTTCAAAATAATGTTAATGCATCACTATCACCTTCATTTGGACATGCGTTCAACATACTGCAGATTCAAAATTTGAATGCAAAAGTTATTTCGAAAATTAAAGTTTTTCCGGGAATATTTCGAAAACCTAAAACTGTGTTGTATGTAATTCCTTGTTAAGTCCGTGACAAATAATTTGTCACGGCTGTATTTGTATTTAACACATATTCTAATTCAACTTAGTATGTAACATGAGTTCTGATAAGTCAATCCTATAAATTTCCGACCGTATAATCAGCATATACGGTGGCTATTTGAATACCGATTCCCAAAAACCTTTGAATGAATTCCTACACATCTGGGGTAACGCTGTTTTTCAGGGCATTGTCATTTGCTGAAGCCCTTGGCCAAATAACGCCCCTATCCAGCTAAAACCCCCTAGATGCCGAGGTTTTTCTTCAGGCGCACATTTGTATACGGTTTGAAAAGTGAACGTTGTGCGAGAATTGCGCTCGCGTGGTCCTGGATCTACGTACGGCTATAAAATTACACAGAAATGTAGAATATTAAATTTCCTATCCGTGGGTATAAATATAAGTGCAAACCTGGGCGGTTTGAGAAATAGGCCTTTCTGAATATTGTCGAAAAGTTTGTCATGCGTTAAAAAACAGTAAATTTCTCCGCTTTTTATCACGCACCGATAAAAGCACTGTGCTACGATTTTTTTAAATTTTGCATCTTTACGGAAATCGTGAGCGAAGAAAATACAGCCTGATATCGGAACGACATAAGTGTATATGAATTGGGTTTATGTGTTAATGCATAACGTTTATAGGCTCAACATTAAAAATGACTCGCAATAGATGCCAAAAATTGATTTTCTCCTATGACGTCAAACGACGACAGAGAGGTCATACACGTATAATGATAAGGGGGCATAACTCCGTATGTTTAACACTAGGTCAATGTAACTCAGATCACATAGAGGGAATTTGTTGTGGATACGGACTCTGTATATTCGTTATTTTCTTGTTTATGGTGAACCAAACTAATCTAATTCAAAGTTCTCCAATACGAGCGGATACGCTTTTGTAGTTTCACAATTTATAGATGACAACGTACTACATGAAATCATGGAATAGCGATTAGGATGGCCCTATCCGATAAATAAGTTAGTTCTTAGATTCCCATATTCTCCTGTTTGTGTACATGTAGTTTGACTAATTGTGTATCGTTATTACTAGAATGATAGCCGTATCTTCAAATGTAATGAAATTGCTGAAAATAATTCAACATTTTAGTTGACGTCATTGCTTGTTTTATGCATTTTGCGACGTCGGAAAAAGACGACATTGGTATGCTGATTAGTATATATCTCACCTAGTTTCCATTAATTGTATAAAAGGTTTCGGCTTCTATGTTAGAATTTAACACGCTGTAGACAAAACAAAATGACTGATTTTTTCCATTTAAATAGTGTCCTGAATATATCAGCAATTAGACGGTTTGACTATGTATCTTACTGTGAACAACACGCGCACCTGTTTGGCATCAATTTAACGTAAATGGAAAATAATATTTCACAACACCCAAATATTTTGTTTAGGATAACAATTTTCTTTCTTTATGATTATGTAGCTATTTCTCTTAATACGTATGCAATGAAATATGCAAAAAGATAGCTTTTTATATATGGAACTATATGTTAGATTATGGATGTAAGATTTGTCCAAATTAAGACATGACATGGTTTATATGATTTAAACAATGTTCGTTTAAATACATTTAGAGTTTGATATCCCGTCATCACAATATTTTTTTATCGAATATGAATTGATTATATTATCGAAAACAATGATAGTGAATCATAAAACGTTTCCGACAAACGCGCACCTGGCAAATCAATAAATATCATTGTTTTGACTATAAAACGACACAAAAATATGCAATGAACATATATATAATATATAAATCATTTTCATTAATATTATCAGTTTTACTTATAAGGTTGAATTAAATCGCCGTTCATTAACCTGTTCATATGAAACTGCAATATTAGTCCAAATACATTGAATATTGTACATCACAGGTACTAAAGTATGTGCAGTTATTGCTACGTTTGATCTTCTAACACTTGTGTAATGCTTTAGAATATGGTGTACTGTACTGAAGGTGTCAATTTCCTATGTACATATTATTCAAAGAATCAAAAACTTGCAAAGAATAAAATACCGTAAACCCTATATGCACGTATGATATGATATCGAACAAGGCTAAATGTAGATACTGAAGTCAGTTTCATGACAAAATATCTGAGCTACACGCTACACATTTTCAATGAAGCCTATTTTGAAAGGTCATTTTAGCACTTGAACTTTGTCTAAAACAATAGTGGATAGTATCAAGAAACAGGAAATTTCCCGCAGAATTCGAAACTGTGAAGTGTATTTGTGCGCGTGTGGTATTTTGATTTTCATTGGACTTGAAATTGAGGGTTGAAGGGGAAGGACGTATATCTCCCTGTGGCATCCAGGGGGTTAACAAAAGACAAAACAGTATCATGAATTTAATTTTAAGTTCAAACAACTTACTTGCAACGGGCTGTTGACCCAACACTGTTAGATCATGAAACAAGATGTATGACGTCATTATAGAGCTTGAGGTCACCTGCTTGACGTCATTTCACAACAGAACTGATAATGGCACGTAGTTGAGGAATCAGCGGGCCCCTCATTTCTGATAACTAGTGAGTGGTTTCATTATACTTCCGTCCATTTTATCTATAACACTATGATTTATTCATCATTATCAGATTTAGACAGTGTGCACATAATAAACGTGTTCAAGTTTGAAAAGGGAACTACTTTTTCTGGCGATGGTGTAAGTTCAAGTAGCGATATGATTAATCTTTGACCTGGTTTAAATAATGAATTTCTTCTACGAAAAAACAGCGTAAAACGAGTTGAATTAGAATGGGGATAACTGTACTGTGTTTGACGAATTGGGGACGTATACCGGTGGTTATATAGCCGGTAATATATTTCCTCAATTCATCAAACACAGTACAGTTATCCCCTAAAAGGCTGCGCCTGTATCAGTATTAGTGTCACAATAACTGCTCCCTAGAGTGCATGGTGGCGCGCCGTGGGTAATGACTTCTCCCTCCTTGAGCTTCCGAACTGTGCAGTCAATGAGAGCGCCTGGGCAGCCCAGTATTGCCAGGTAACATGATGAACAAACATAGGGTAGACTATCACTCCTCAAGTATATAACATGGATATTTTACATGAATACATGATATTTCACTGTGACACATATTATAAGTTAGTTGCATTGAGGTAACGATACAGAATTGCAATATTGTGTCATATTGTGCATTAAAGTGTTCACAGTTTTCTAGCACTGTGTCATAAATAGAGGATATTATATAAGTGCCCATGTCATACTATATTTAAGACAAGAGTGCCTAAATGTTGTTATTTCCCGAGCGAGAGCGAGGGATATGCCGATATTTAGGCACGAGTGTCGTAAACATAGTATGACTTGGACACTCATATAATATTCTGTTTATTACCGAAGTCGTCAAATTGAGGAAAATAAACCCAAATCTACTTTCACACGATGGCTACCCGCCGTCGCCGCATATAGAACGCAACATCACAGGAGAAACAGGATGTCATAGCCTTGTTCATGACGTCACGTCACCATGACAAAGTGATATTTTGCCCTAGGGCATCGTATGAAAAATATTAACCCCGATGAGCCGAATTATCGAAAGGGATTTAAGGCGAGTCTGGGTTTTGGTAAACCAAGAATCCTGGTCTTAAAGAAACGGTATTATAGAAAGCAGGTCTGCCCAAAACCCTTTGTTTAAACCTAGACGGGGGGTTTAATGTTTTTCCGCTTTGAAAATGTTTCAAACTTTATATTAAACCTGTTTTGCGGATAATCAGTGTCCTGTTTCCGTTTTTTACTGAATGGCGGTACAGGACGGTACATCACGGTAGCGTTTCTAACGTCAAGCTAGGACAATATGGCATGTAGAATACAAAACTTTACTGAGGAACAGAACCTGTACATTCTCCAATGTATTGAAGAACATATTTCAATCACTGAAGACGAGAGGTGTGACGCCCATGCGTTAAAGAACAAATCGACAGCATGGGGAAGAATCGAGTTGTCTTTTCAAGATCGTTTTGGCATCAACATTGACACAGATAAATTGAAGCATTATGGAAACGACTAAAGTTAACAGCCAAAAGAGAACTACGAAAAGGAACTTAAAAAAAAAAACTGCAGGGGGGCCACTACCCAAGGACGTGTCTAATGTATCGCATAGAACAATCAGTATGATCCCCAGGGAGTATGAACAACTGACCAACCACTACGACGATCAAGACGAACAAGGAGATATCTCAGCGACAATTTGAAGCATATGAAGATGAATATGTGACCGCGTCTGATAAAATAGGGCCATATGTAACACAAGCAATTTTGAGTTATTTATAACGTCATTCGCCTTTAACAAAACCTCAGAAAAACATGCTGTAACTTCAACAGGAAGTGAGGTACGTCGATAAACTTTTGTGCATGTGTCGTTAGTATGATGCTGATTTCACATCACCAAAAATCGCAAATATTAGATTTGGTCATTTCACCCTATTCTGTCAGACGCGGTCACATAAAATTATGTAGATTTCTTCATCCTCAATAATATCAAGTACAAAATATTTTAGTGAAAAGAAAATCACGCTTTCTTCAACTGATGTTTAACCAAAAAATAATTATTGTCTTAAATTTCATTTTTCAGTAACAAATCTAGTATTAATAATACAAAATGAAGATTTGAAAGACATCATCAGAAAAAAATCATATTAGAGGGATCTCCCCTTACAATCCTCGCAGG